TATATATATATATATATATATATATATATATACACACACATATACATACACACACACACACACACACACACATTTTTTTTAACCCGTGGTGCTGGGGGTTGAACCCTGGGCTTCATGCATGTGAGGCAAGCACTCTTCCAACTGAGCTATATCCCCAGCCCAAATATGAGGATGTTTAACCTCTTGAGCAGAAGGTCAGGGAACCCTCTCGCAAAAACCATGGCATGCAAGAGAAATGCTTATGAATGCTTATCCTGTGTTGGGACAGTCTGCTGCCTGTTGTGGGTGGGGGAATTCACAAATGATACAAAACCTTGAAAGTTTGTCTTTCAGGGTTTATGTGAATATCATTTCACAGGTTAGTTCATTGCTGTTGCTTTTATGCTTTTTATTATTTACAAATGCTCCACTGATGCATGAGTCTTTGAAACCGTGTCGTTGCATGTATGTTTACCCTGATAGCTGCATTTGCTTATAATTCTTTTTGCTTTGTCCTCAGTTCAGATATTTTGGATGGCAGTAGTAGAAGCAGTGGCTTATCCTCAGACTCACTGGCTACAGGCAGCATTCCTGCACAGTCTCCAGTAGCATGCTCCAATTCATGCTCCTCGTTCATCTTGATGGATGATCTCTCAGCCAAGTGACTTAACCATTTCTGACTCAGTGCTTTTTAACTGCCGTTTCCCACGTGAAATATTCAGTGAGGAACGCAGAGAACTTTGATCCATAATGAGGATTGAAGTTTGACAGATGTCAGTCATTCTGATGCTGTTATTTGGGGGGTATCTCTCCCCTCTAAAGTTTAATTACTTACTATCATGTTTGTTATTGTCGATCTCATTTTGCATTTAATGACTAAATCTTAAAATACCAATTTTTGATCACTTTGCTTTTCTTATGTGCCTCAAAGAGCACCTTCTTTCAAGTCTATATGCTTAAGGGAGGCACTGATGTGGACTTGCTATCATGGTTGTTTTCCCTAGCAGTGATGTGATCAAGTTGATCAGAAATTCTCTTGCTTGAGAGATTTTTCTGTTGTTGTTCTTTGTCAACTACATGGTTTCCAATCCCTTTATTTCCCAGCAATATGCCAATTGCTTTTGAACAGATTAAATTTTTAGTTTTCTGCATTAGCTTAAAGTGCATTATTTTGTTTTATTTTCCTGTTTGAGCTGCTGCTTACTTGCCATTTCTCACAGAGGGGAAGAAATGCCTAGTCGCTTCCATCACTATCCTTGTTGCTTCTTTGCTAGTGGAGTGTATGATGAGAGGATCAATTTTAGTGCTGAGAATGTAAATGAACTTCAGGATACCTATGTTAGTCACCCCAGGTTCTTATGACTTTGCTGCCACAGTTGATAATTCTCCTCCCAAACCTGTTGTCCTAAGGAATATATAAAATATTGTTGATATTTCTAGGTGGTGTTATCAAGGAGAAGAAATTCCTGCCTTGACCAGATGTGTGGAGCATCTACAAATGAATGAATAATGTATTTGCATACAAAGCAAGTGGTCCTTGGAGCTGTCAGTGTCTCCGGTGGTATTATGAGGCCTTAGGTGCCTTGGGGTACATTGTCGTGCTGTAAGGGATGTATATCCTAAGGTAGTGTGGAAAAAGGAGGCTTTATGTGTGTGATAGCCACATACTATTTCAGTTGCTGCTTTTTTCTGATTTCTTTGTGTCATTGGATTTGTTTGTTTTGTCATGTGGTGACTGGTGTTTTGGCTATTGTGTTGCTGCCAGAGTCGGAATCCAGTTTGTGTACATACTGCCTTATAGTAAAGGCAGTTAAATCTCTATGAGAAAGCTTTTAGGAGCTGAAAAAGTCAATGTTATCGTGTATTCTGCTTTTAAGAAGCTGTTTGAGCTATAAAAACTGTACCTACTAGTAAGTGCGAGGTACCATGTTATTTAATTTTTACAAAAGGAAATGTGTGGCTGAGCTATTTAGGAAATCTGAGTGTACTCTCTTGTTATGTTATTTATGAATTATACCATGTAAAATGTCGTGTTCTTTTCATCTTCAGACATTGTGGTTGGATTGTCTCTGTCTAATATGCACATTGCCTGCTAGGATCATGCTATTCCATTTTTTAAATGAATGTAAGAAACAAAAACTACTGCACTTGTGTCTTTTGAAGGCAAAGATCCTTGGATTTTAAAGGAAGATGGTGTGCTTTGAAGGCACCCCCAGACTAGCAATAGCAGATTGCTATCGAAGGGAAACCTGTTTTCTTCCAATTATTAGAGAACTTCACTTAGCTTGCAGTAGTTCTATTAAAGAATTAGATGTGTCCTTTATTTTAAATTGTAATCACTGCCATCACAGCCACTAAGAGCTTTTGTTCCTGTGTTGCTTTCGCCTATGCAAAGGCCAAAAACCCTTCGAAACTAATGCCACTGTCCCCTTGTGTGCCATCTTAAAGACAAATCTCTTTGATGGTACTCGGTATATCTATTCTGTTTGTAAAAGAACCATGTTAAGATGTTTTTGCTCCTATAATGATAATGGTTTTGTCTTTCAGGAGATTTGTCCACCTTCACTCTACTGTCTTCTTTGCCTTAAAGGGACACTCTTGGGTTCAAATGTAGGAATGTTAGGAGAGAACCTTTGAAATGTGATGATATTTAAATATATTTTTTGAAATCCAGTGGTGGGCTAGAGCAGGAAATTGAAATTATTCCAGTGGTATGAGAACTGAGAGGCAAGATGATTCACTTTAAGGTTCATTTTCAGTTTTTATTCTTTAAATGGACTGAAACGTTAGGTTTGTGCAGGGATTGTTTTGAAATTAATAAAAGACAGACATATGCTAGCCCACAGATGAGCTTTCTTGACAGTACCCCTTTATTTTTATATAAAGTCTAATATTTGAAAAGTGGTTATTGTTATAAAGTAAAATTCCCTCTTCCTATTCTAATACTATATCATATATTTCAAGCTTCTATTTGAAAACAAGTACAAGAAGTCGTAAGATAATCCTACAGATACTGTTTGACTTATAATCACTGTTTCATGACAACTGCTTTTGGAATAATAGAATAATAATAGAAAGTTTTGTGAAATGCTGGCCTTGCATATATCTTAGAATGCAAATTTAATAAAGTGTGTACATGCATAAAATATAGTGTTTTAAAAGTCTATCTCTTTTATTCTTCTTGATAATTGTTTTCTGCTCCATATTCCAAAAGTCCATTCTCTGTATCTAATGTCAAGTCAAGTTTTGTGTTAAAAGGTATCAAGAACACAAAGAAATGATAGCTATATTGAAGTTGGGGCTGTTTTCCCAAACAAAGAAAAACCTCCACACATAATCTGTCAAAAATTCAAGAGTATTTTGTGGAATTTGACAATTTAGAAGGTTCTTGCCAGGGTCACACATATTTTTTACTTGTTTTCAATTTCTCTTTTTATGTTTTTTACATATTTATAAGTCTTTAAATTATTTTTTGAACAAGACAGGGAGATATGTAAATAGGCAAAAATAAAGCCTTTCATCCCTGACTTGGGTCATAAACCCTTGATTTTATTTTCAGTTTTTAAAAAGTCAATGGATTACTTTATTTTAAAAAACTTTACATTTTGAAATAATTTCATATTTGTAAAAATCTTACGATCGCCCAAAGAAATTCCATATATCCTTCTCCCAGCTGCCCCCGTTGTTAACATTCAACCACATTTGCTTTATCATTTTGTGTGTGTGTGTGTCTGTGTATACCATCCAAGAATAAATTGCAAACATGAGACTTCATTACCCATGAATGCTTCCGTGTAAATTTCCTAAAGACAACGACATTCTGCATAAACCATATTAGAACCATCAAAATCAGGAACTTAATGTTGATGCAAAATTGCCATCAAATCTGCAGACCCATTCCAATTTTGCCTGTTCCCAATAATCCTTTTTTTAGCAGAAGGAAAAGAATAAACAATTTTTTTTCTTAGCCAGGATTTAATCTAGACTTCTGTTACACTTGGTCATTATGTGTCTTTAGTGTCCCCCAATCTGGAAGTCCCTCAGTCTTTCCCTGTCTTTTATCAACTTTAAATTTTTGAAAAGTACTGGTCAGTTATTTTGTAAAATATTCCTTGGTTTGGGTTTAACTGTTGTTTCCTCATGATTAAATTTAGGTTTTGCATTTTGGAAAGAAATACCATGGAAGTGATGCCGTGTTCTCAATGTATCATTTTAGGATGTACATGGTGTTATTTTGTCCCGTTAGTAGCTGTTCACCTTGATCCTTTGGTTAAGGAGGTGTCTACCATGTTTCTGCACTGTACAATTATGTATTTTGTAATTCCATTTACTGATAGTGAGAAACCTGGTTCCTTTTATCCTCAATGTAATTCCTCCTCTATTCTATATGTCACCAGTTTCCTACCTGGCCAGCCACCACTCAGACTGCCTCCTTGGCCCAACCATCTCCTTGGATCTGACCCTGTTGCCCTACTGCCCTGGCTGCCTCTAAGGAAGGAAGGGAAAAAGGGATAAGGTCTAAATTACTCATTTTAAATATTCTTACTTCACACCCATTTCAACCTCTACCTCTAAGCTCCTTTTCTTCTGTTTGATTACAGCTCAAGAATTTCTTATATGCATTAATTTAATGAATATTTATTGAGCTCTGTGCTGGGAAGTGTAAATGCAGAGTAAGTTCATGCCTTCAGGGAGACCAGAATGGTGGAATAAATGGAATTACACTGACCATTCGAGGCTCTGATGAGACCATATTGGGAGCACAGAGTGAGAACATGGGCTGGGATACTGGGATGTTTCCCAGAAAAGGGACCACTGAAGCTGAATTGTGAAGAACATACTTGAGTGGATGTAGGAATCAGGTAGAGGCAAATACGATACAGGCAAGAAGAGACCAAGGCACTATTAAAAGAAATTCCAGTAATTTGGTAATAGGAGAAATGAGGCTGGAAAGGGAAACAGAGGCCCTGTGGTCTTTGAGGATTGGAAGTCTAACTTAAGTGGGTGGAAGCCCTGGGTGTAGACTTAAGCAGGGAGTAAGTGAGGGGTGGAAATTCTAATAAGCATCAACATTTAGGAGTCAGGTTGAAGAACAGATGGTAGCAAGAGAGGTGGGAGGAAAATCTACAGAATATCACTAGATGAAGTGAAGCTAAGGAGGGAGTGGTCTACCAGTTCAGTTAGATGTAAATTGAAAATTTCTCGATGGATCTGATGATTAGGTCCCTGAGAGACTCAGTGTATTTCTAGTGGGTGAATTGAATTGCAGTGGCTTGAATAAACAGGGGTTCAGGATATTTATGTCATTAGCATATGTAGTCTATGTCCAACATCTTCTAACCTCCTTCACCTTTTTTCCCAATACTTGTTCCATTACAGTACAAATTCCTGTTTTTTTCTTGCACCTTCAGTGGCTAGTGCTGTATCTGAAATGGAATAGTTACTCAATAAAATTTTGTTAAAGAATAACCCACACTCTAACCCATAGGGGGAGCTGAAAGAAAATCCCTCCAACCTATAATGGAAGTTGAAAGAGTGTCACTCGAACCTATAGAAGGAGCTGAAAGAAAATTACAAGGGAATGTTAACCTATAGGAGAAGCTGAAAGAAAATCTCCCGGGAAGTATTAACCACACGCTCTAACCTCTAGGAGGAGCATCAAGCCACGTCTTCCAGACATTCCTGAGGAAAACTTGCATGAGGAGTTTTCGTCAAGGAGTTCCACCCCTAGGTAATATTTATTATTATATACCTAATACTTACCTTCTATCTGGGGCACGTGATATTAGCTTTCCATTTATGATAGTGATATGAAGTTATCTATTAAAATAAATTTAGCAGATAACTCTTTTAAATACATATATTTAAAAAACAGACATAGCAAAGAAAAAGTTGAAGCATCTTAAATGAACAGTGAGTGACAGATATGGCCAAAATCTTAGAAGTAAAATACATGTACGAACTTCGATTGAGGGAAATACTGGAGCCACACTGGTGTATGGAACTGTTGTGAAGAAATGAAAAGCTGTTGAGTCTATGTGGAATGCTCTTTTGGGGCTCCTCTTTAGAGTCTCTCTTTTTGAGATTCTGCTCTTTCCATCTATGAAGTGTGATAAGAGAGGTATCTTTAGCTTCTCAAAAGACGCCTGCTCTTGTTTTCAAAGACAAGAGGGAACTTGGGTGGGGCTCAAGGAAAAGGGGCCTAAGGAGTCTGTCAGGCCTGGTTTGCTTACTTATATCTCTGATGAAAGGAGAGCTAAGGTCAGAACATATCCCTTAGAGAAAGAAGCTTCTAGTCGTGTCTCTGAGGCTTCAACGCAAAAGGAATTTGTATCCAGCTCCCCTAGTTACTACACTGAAATTTGGAGTGACAGCTCAGTGAGGTGTTTATTTGTGGGAATCTGTACTGTAGGCGCTTATCTCCCTCCAGAACCTGTGGGGTCAGGGTTGGAGGAGGAACTTTGGTTATGGGTGGAGGGTTAAGAATTTTAGGATTTGTAATCCTGACCATGTGTGTTTCCTCCTCAGAGACAAAATTAACATTCCATAGTGTTTTCAACTTATTTTCCTTTTTCTCAAGAGTTTTTTTCTTTATTCATTTTTAAATTATGAAAATGAATTAGATTATGAATATGGAGAAAAGCTCATTATAAAAAGTTCAAACCTCATAGATATATTCAAGGTAAAAAGGGAACAGCTCCGCTAACCACCTTCTCGTGTTATATTATAGTTTGATTTGTGTAACTTATTATCTTTTTCTGTACATATTGAAACACAATTATAATAGATGCACATGCACATTTTAAAACTTTTTTGTACCGGGGATTAAACCCAGGGGAGCTTCACCACTGAACCACATCTCCAGTGCTTTTTAAAAAATATTTTATTTAGAGACAGGATCTTGCTAAGTTACTTAGGGCCTCACTGAGTTGCTGAGGCTGGCTTTCAACTCACAATCTTCCTGCCTCAGCCTTCTGAACCATTGGGGTTACAGGTATGTGCCACTTCACTTGATTTAAACATTTTTGGAGTGTAACATACATACAAAAAAATATACAGCTTGAACTAATCACAAATTGGATGTTATATGGAATGTTCTGTGTGACGTAGGTAATGGTTACATGGGTTTATTCAATTTGTGATCATTCTTAGAGAGTGAATGGCTTGGAAATGGGATTGGGGGGTGCTTAAAGAGTTCTAGAATGGGCTGGGGATGTGGCTCAAGTGGTAGCACACTTGCCTAGCATGCGTGAGGCACTGGGTTCGATTCTCAGCACCACATAAAAATAAAATAAAGATATCGTGTCCACCTAAAACTAAAAAATAAATATTAAAAATATATTTAAAAAAGAAAGAGTTCTAGAATGTACTATGTAGACCTGGGACATGTTCAAATAGGTTTATCCAACTTGCAATCTTTCTTGGCAAATGACTGGAAGTGAACATTAGGGGGTGCTTAAAGAGTTCTGGAATGTTCTGTGTAGACCTAGATGATGGTTAAATAGGTTTATTCAGTTTGTTGAGAGTGACTGGAAGTGAGACTTCAGGGATGGAGGTGGGTTTGGTGGTGTATGCCTGTAATCTCAGTGACTCAGGAGGCTGTGATAGGAGGATCACAAGTTTGAGGCCAGCCCCAGCAACTTAGCAAGGATCTATCTCAAAATAAAAAGATCTGGGGATATAGCTCAGTGGTAAAGGGCCTTTGAGTTCAATCCCCAGTAACCCTTCCCCCTCAAATGTTCAGGAATGTTCTGAGTATTAAATATGTTTATTTAGTTTATAAGTGTCAGTAGAGAATGAATAACTGCAAGAGGGCATTAGGGAGTTCTTTAAGAGTTCTAGAATGTTGTAGGTTAAGCTTGTTGATGATTTATGAGTTTATTTTTAGCAACTGGATAATACTTTCTTTGTGAATATTCCATAATTTAATCTTCAATTGATTGTCATTTATGTTCTTTATTATTTATTAGTATACACAAATAAACATTCCTATATGTTTGTTTGCCCTGAAAGTATTTCTGCAGGAGAGATTCTTAGAAGTGATAAATTTCAAGGTCAAAGGGTATACATTTTACTCATTATTTTCCTTTTGGAAAGTTAAGACAGTATAAAAAATTCTAACAGCAAAACGGGTATACAGGGAAAAGTTAGTTTTCCTCCTATT